TAGCCAATATTCATGAAAGAATGCTTAAGGTATGATTACTCAGTCTAATTTTCCTTTATTAAGGTATATATTAAGAAAGAGCATTTTAATAGGTTAAAGAAAATAAGTGTTGACAAGGTGTGAGTGGACATACAACTGACAAATGGGGGCGATTCGGAAAAGAGCTGAGAGTATAAGATTATGTGTGATTATAAAATAAAATATAGTGCTAGAAACAGTATTGTGATATACATTTGGCTGTCTTCCCTTTAATATCGAAGCTATTAGAGCCTCTTTCGTTTTTTTTTTAAAATATTTTTCCCCCAGTTATTATAGGGTCTTGATTAGACTTCGTATATTAGCGAATTGTCTAGTTTGCTTGTAATAGGATTTCTAGGTAGGAAGTGAAACCAATTCAACGTTCGTAACACGACTTAAAGAGGTATTTTGCGTGAATAGATCAGCTTCAATACCATAAGTTCGTGGCATCCCACTAAATCATAAGGAGCCGTAATTAAACAAAATGTTCTGCCCTACAGACATGGGTGGATTGAAGTTATCTCCCCACCTTCATGTTTGCTGGTCAGTAACGCCACCCTCCCTCCTTTTGTGATGTTAGGCTCTCTTACGTTTGTGGTAAGTATGAATACTGCTTTAATCAAAGCCCATAGTTGGAATACACTGTCTCTACTAGGTCCATGTTACAAGCAAATCAGATAGTTAAAAAACTTGTTTTATGGGTTAGATGTCCACATAGTATATCACACTGCTATGAAAATAACTAATGGTTTAAAGAAGTAAGGACTAATAGCAAATCAAAAGATATGAGAGGGTATAAAATCGTAGAAAAAAAAAATTTCAGGGTAAGACAAATAAAACATTGAGAAACTCACAAGACGTTGTGGCCAAATTTTGAACTTTGAATGGTCGGCCTTAGTAGATCAGCATTCATAAGATTGAGCTATCTGTCTACTTGCAGTGGAATAAAAAAAAGGCATGACTTTTAGGAAGAATAATGTACATTTAACCTGTAGAGATTTGGGAACTGAAAGCTAGGGTTAGGAGCATGAAGTCATGATTAATAAACAATTAATAATAGGAAAGGATAAGCCATATGTTCTGTGATTTGGTTATATTCATATTAGTAACAGTCGGACTTGTTATAATTTTGTTCTTTCTAGATACTAGGCGGTCCGTAATAAAGTGCCTCATTGGTGGGCGGGAGTTCAAGGAAATGTTGAAGCTCTTTGGAGTCTAGAAATAGGGTTATTAGCCTTTTGAATCTGATAAACGTATCACAATTACGGATAGGCATTGGCAGCCTGTTCCACAATAAACTGTACCGTACTGTAAAGAACTTACAACGCATTTGTTTTTGGTGTTTTACGGTAAGTAGTGTATATGCGTTGTTTCTAAGTCTATAGGCTGGGTCGTGGGTAATAGTCGGGCAGGAGGTTAGAAAGGAGAGCCCATATATCGCTTTGTAGAGAAATATTAAATTGTTTTTTAGCCTACGGTGCCATAAGGGTTCTAAAGATAGATGCTTACATCTGTCTGTGTAGTCAAGATTCGAGTTGCATCCTAGTAGTTGACGTGTGAAACGTCTTTGAACATCTTCTACTCTTGTCTTGTCTGTGATATTCATATTAGAGAATACAAAAGAGCAGTATTCAAGGGAGGGTCTTACACATATTTTGTAGAGAGTAAGTTTACCCTCTGTTGTGAAAAAGTTTTTCATTATAAAGCCAATTAGCCGTCTAGATTTAGAAATAATAGAGGAGGCATGTTCGTCAAAGTTCAGGCTTCCTGTGTAATTAATTCCTAAATCGCGTACTGATTCGAGTGTTTCGACTCTACTTTCATTTAAGTGAAGTTGCGGTTTATAGGGATGCTTTCCAAAGTGCATGATCCCGCACTTGTTGAGGTTTAATGGTAATTGCCATTTTTCACTCCATATAGTTAAGTTATTGAGGTCCTTTTGGATCTGGGATACAATTTCGCTTAGTGTCTCAGGCTTATAGCTGTATACTATTTTGAGATCATCAGCATATAAGTATGGTCTTCCAAATTCTATGGTGTTACATATATCGTTTATATACATAAGAAACAAAAGTGGACCTAATACGCTTCCCTGGATGACTCCACTGGTGATTGGCCTAGGGGACGAGAGACAGTCATTGTACTTTACCATCTGTTTACGTTCTGTTAAGAACGAAGCAAACCATGAGTACAGTGGGTTGTGTATTCCGAAGGACTTTAGTTTGACGAGTAGCCTTTTGTGTGGGACCTTATCAAAGGCTTTCTTAAAGTCTAGGAATAGAACTGATACAAGGAGTCCGCTGTCTCGTTTCATAGTTATATCATTCAGGTAGTCTACTAGGCATGTATCGCATGATCTGGACCTAAGAAATCCATGCTGGGAGGTCGAGATGAGATTATTAGTTATTAGATGTTGGACTACAGCCGCCTTAACTACTTTTTCCATCACTCTGGATACCACTGAAGTTATATTTATAGGCCGGTAATTTTCAACGTTTGCTTCAGGTCCTGTTTTAATTTTGGGAATGATATGTGTAGTTTTCCAGGCAGTGGGGTAACACGCTGAAGAGAGTGATATCGCGAATAGTTTGAGAAGCAAAACACACATATCATCACCTCCACGTTTTAGCATGCTAGATGGAATACCATCTGGTCCATCGGTGTATGAGTGTTTCAATGTACTGATTGCCTTGGAAATATTTTGTACACTGAATTCTACATTAGTAATTTCACAGGGAGGTACTGGAATTGGTTCTGAATCATTAAATGGTTTTTCGTTAGTTAGTGAGAAACAAAAATGTTCACTAAATAATTCTGTGACAAGTTTAGGATCTTCGTATACTTGTTTGCCTTTAATGAATATACTCCCTCTCGATTTAGAGCGTTTAAGTTTATTTTGGAGTAGTATGGTGAGTGCAGAGGAGTTATCATTAAGTTCAACTGCACGTTTTTCCTGTGCTACTGCTTTTTGTTTACTTATTGCCTCTGTTCGGACAAGTATTTCTGTCATCGTTACTAAAGAGGAAAAGTCATTTAAGTTGTGGAATTGAGTACAATGTCTTTGAAGACGTCTTCTTGTACTGACCGGTATATAGAGATCTTTGGAGAACGCAGGTTTACTGTATTCTAAAGGTGCGATGTTGTTGATGATACTTTTGATGTTGTGATAAAATATATTGGTTAATGTGTCGGTATTGTTTGAGGTAAAGAAAGTTCTCCGTATGTTTTGATAATTGAATCGTTAGCTGCTACTAAGGACAGTTTAGTGCTTGTCGTCTGTTGTCTGCGTGAGAGGTGGAGTGGGATGATGCTGATTTCTGCTCCAGTGTCGACTAAAAAATCCGAGCCAGAGATGCGATCCCTGACGTGGAAGAAGTAGCTAACATGTTGGCCAGTAACAGCCACCGCCATTACTGTCTGGCCCCCTCGTTTCCCTGGGAGTTTGGATTGCTTGTTTTAACGTTGCACGGTTTTGTGCAACGACGTGCCTTTTCACCGAATGTCGTGTGGTACCAACAAATATCCGTTGCCCTCTCGGGTGACCTAGGGTGATGTCGGGACGTTGATCGCTTTCTGGAGATTGATCTTGCAGGTCGAGAGTGAATCATGGCAATGGTCGCCTGCAGCGATGCGACTTGCTGAGTTAAGTTTGCGATTTGTTGATATATGTCATGAGGAGGAGTCGTAACATCTTGACTGGAGGTTTGTATGGCATTTAGGTGTCGACTATCAGGATAAATTTCCATCATCTTGTCTGCCATATCAGCTAGATCGTCGAGATTGACGGAAGTTCCTGATGGGCTGCGAATTTGGGTGACATTGTGTGGTGAAAGTTGAAATCACATCTATTCAAGTGATGCGTCGTCTACCTTATATGACCCTGCTAAATGTTTCATATGCTGGAGTAACTGCAAGGGTCTCTTATCCCTCAATTCGCAAGACTTTAACAACTGATGCAGTCTTTTCTCGTCTGGGACAGAGGTTCATTGGATTACAGCTGTCTTTATTTTATCATAAGGTTCTGATTCTGGTACCTGGTCAATCAAGTCTCCAACCTCAGCAGCAATCTCTATGGGGAGTGCGCCGACTACATATGCATACTTTGTTGCCTGTGATCGTACGCCTCGTGCCATAAATAATGCGTCGACTTGTGCAAACCAAATTCTGGGGTTTTTGGCACCGTACATTGGTAATCTTACATCCGAAATAGCGTTTATCGAGTTCAAAACATTGTCTTCTGGCTGTGATGCATTAAGGGGGTTGGTAGATGGGCTATCTATGTCACTAAGTTTGCTGGAATAGTTCATAATGGAAAAACAAAAATGGTGTGTGATGCAAAGTAATAATAATAATATATGTAGATATATATAGTAAATTTCTATAACAAATTCGAGGCTCACCAAAGATCAAATCGTCTACGTCTGAAGTTTCGTTTCTCGCACCAAGTAGTGCATTACTGGAATTCTCCACCTGAATACGTAATATCAGCACCTTCTGTTGGTATATTTTAAGTGAGATTGGAACTCCACAGTGTTGCAAACTTCAAGGATTAATATAGGTCGATGAACCTCCTATCCTTATAAATGAAGACTGATCTCTTTTAAAGTACTAAAACAAAGTTAAAAGAAGGTGGACCTGAGTATAAATGAACCAATTATGAACAATCAAAAAATACTTTACAAAGTAAAACTATGCATCTACAGGATTAGTTCCGCTGGAATTGCTCAATAGTGATGGGATCCAACATCCACAAAGCGGCGCTTGGCTTAATGTTTTATTGTTACTGCGCTAATTACGTATCTACCAACCTACATGGACAGTTTGTGACCAAATTGTACTTTCAATGGACTTTTCTTTGTTGCGTTTTTAACTTTAGCATTCCGTAACATTTTTAATGTAGCACTAGGAACGCTGACTTTGATATTAAGTAAAAGATTCGTTGGTCCAATAAAAAACAACCGTCAGTATAATTGGAGTAAACAATGTCGTGGTATGCTAACAGTTATATTTATTCTTCTCTGTAATCTATATTAAGGAAATCTTTAGGGCGTTTGCTATCAGGAATCAAAGGAGCTTACAATGATATAAACCCTGCGACGTTAACTGGAGCTATTGATGTGATTGTTGTCGAACAAAAAGATGGTTCTTTCACTTGTGGACCGTTTCACGTTCGGTTCGGAAAACTGACAGCTTTCTCTCCAACGGATAAGGCTGTTGAAGTTTATGTCAATGGTGAATTTGTCAACTTTCTACAGATGTCTTTAGGAAGTGCCGGTGATGCATACTTTGTAGACTCTTCTGGTTCAACAACAGATGAATTCTTAACGACAGATCCCAGTGACTGTCCAGGATTTACATATGATGACTCATGGTCTGAGATTCCCGTGCGGCGTCATTCACGAAAGGTTCGACGGGACTCTGCAATGAGTGAACCGGGTACAGAATCTAACTTAATAAAAGAAGATATAGATGAATTATGTGGGACAAGTTATGAAGTTTCATCTGATTGTGAAGCCTCAAATGATAGGGTTAGAGACTCCCGAAAGTGTCGGAATTCCGTTGGTGATAAATTTGCTTCTGACAGCCAGTTGGACGAAAGTTTAAAGGATACTGTAAGCAATTATAGTTACGATTGGAATCTGACGAAATATCAGCCACGTGGTAGCAGTTCCTGTGTCGTTAAAGATGTCACAAAAAGTGATATAGTACGAGACCCTCATCTAAAAAACTTTACACATGAAAAAGAAGTGTACCTGGAAGAACTAGTTACATCTGAAGTCGATCAAAATATTAAAGAGGTGTATATCTACCCTCCATCTCACGGAAATTTTCCATCTCAGTGTCAAGGATCATACAACACTACTGACAGTAACTGTGTTGACTATGGTTATCGTTCCGACAACGAACACTCTCCGAGAAGCATGTCACCCATCCATCCCCATGATTTAAGTTTAAGACTCTCGTTGTGTGGTGGTTTATCTTCAGATAATCCTTGTTCTGAGGGGAAGTTTGTAGAGCACATAGTTTCTTATGAAGAATTTATACGTGACCCTAACGCTATTTTATCTAATCCCAATCTTGTTGTTTACTTCAATGGGCGTTATTGCAATTGGCAAGTAACTGCTCCTTCTATTGTCAGTTTACTTGCCTTTCAAACACAACTGCCTTATCTGACTTTACAAAAGCTAGAGAATCAGTACCTACCCAAAAAGCAGTCTCGACGTACCTCTTGGTTCAGCTGGGGTGCAAGTCAAACACGAACTGTTGCTACACACTCCGTAATCCCTACTAAAGAAGTCGATAATGTTGAAGAAAAAAGGCTTGATTCCAGCTCACAACTACCTCAGGTAAGTTCGTCTTTGAGGTTAACTAATACTTCTAGGTACACAACACTCACAGAGTTACTAAAATCAACAGACTTTCTTCAAGTGAAGTAGCCAGATTGAAACTCAAACCTGGACGAAATGATATTGAGTTTCGTGTCACCACAAAGTATCAAGGGACTTGCACATGTTCAGCTTCTATTTATTATTGGCATTGGTATGACAAAATAGTTGTTTCTGACGTTGATGGAACCATCACACGTAGTGATTTACTCGGACACTTGCTTCCTATGGTAGGTCGTGATTGGACACATTCTGGAGTTGCTCGACTGTACAACCGAGTTCAGAATAACGGTTATCAGTTCCTCTATCTTTCAGCCCGAGCTCTCGGACAAGCAGGTATAACTAGGAGCTATTTGAGACAAGTCGTTCAGGATTCATCATCCAGGTTGCCAGATGGACCAATACTATTGTCTCCGAATTCTCTTCTCCATGCCTTCCACCAGGAAGTCATTATTAATAAACCAGAAGTGTTTAAAACGAAATGCCTTCAAGATGTATGTTGTCTTTTTCCGAAGGGATCATCTCCACTGTATGCGGGATTCGGTAACAAGGTTAACGATGTTTTCGCATATCAGAAAGCTGGGATCGAGCTTTGCCGAATATTCACAGTTAATCCACGAGGAGAAGTTCGTAATGAATATCAGTCCCTAAGAAGTACAAGTTATCATGAGTTGGGAGATTTAGTGGATCTTCACTTCCCACCTCTTTGTAAGTACCAGATTACACATACACCACATCCTGTTGATTATCATTCTAGTTGTGTTATAAAGTCAGAAAATTCGACGCCAGCTGTTGCACATCCACCTGACACATTTGATCCCGTACTTGTTGATTTAACCACGTTCTCTAGTTTTTCGTTTTGGAAATCTAATTACGAATTATCTTTTCCTCTTCCAAAAACACTGGAAAATTTGTGATATATATATGAAGTACATTTTCGAATTGCCTTTCTTGTTGCTCGCTTCCATTCTAGTAGCATAACTAATGTAGTGTTTATCTTGCAAACAGACACCCTTATTTTTCAACATATTTGCCTTTCTGTTTTATTGAGACTATTATCTTTTACAGAGATTATTATTTTCTACTTTACGTACAAATTGTACCTAACTATTCGTAAAAATAAACTTTCTGAAATCAATAAAGTGATAACGAATTATTTGTACTTTTCATATTATTTTTCAATAAAATAACTGAATACACACTGGTTGGAACTTTTAGGCTCTATCGGAGAATCTATCAATAGATAGTTGTTTTGAACAAGCCGCAGCGCATTTGACCGAAATAGCTTATTCTCTGGACTCCAACACCTTACTCTACTTCTACGCTAGGTACAAACAGGTCAGTTACCGTTTAAAATTTTGTAGTTTGGCTTGTGTGCAAATGTTAACAGAATATTTCCGCAGCTCATTTACACCGATCCAGCACACCGGCAACCTAAATGTCTTTCTTAGAATCATGTCCTGAAGCTGAATGTATACGTATAAAAAAATCCACTTCTTTGTTCTTAATAAGTTGCTAACTTGCGCCTGTTACGCCTCGTGCAGGAGCATAGGCCACCCACCAGCATTCTTCATCGAACTCTGTTCCATTTATTGGACGCATAAATATTAGTACAAAGGGGCACCGAATACATATGCACAACAAGTCACTCGATTTGTGTGTGGACTGTGATACTGCCCGGGTGCCCAGACTAAAGCAGGTGGTTTTCTTAGGGGACCACATCTGAAGCCTTCGATCTAAATGTCTGATCTACAAGGCAGTGGAGCAACGTCAGGGATACAGTCCCACGGTAACCGATGACCAACGACTGGTCCATACGCCATTTGTTCCTGCAAGGTCCCGGAGCCCATGTGCACCATTGGTTTGAAATCAGGGTTTTACAACTCTCCTAGATGGGTCCTCCATATACCAACTCGGACATTCGCTTTTCGTCCTCTCAATTTCGTAAGCAACACCCACGCTGCGAGAAGTCATTGAGTTGGACTTTCGTGACAGTGACTGTATACGCGTGGCCATGTGAGAGCATTTGGAGAGGGAGCTAACTCTCCACACCCTTGGTCGTACCAAGGTATTGGGGGGCAACACTTTCCAGTTGCTAATCATCACTTTGATATCTGTCTCATTCTCGGCACAGTGTTGTTTGAAATTCCTTTTTCCATTTTCCTTCGGGATTCCAAGTTAGGGCATGCCTCGTGATGTAGTTTGATGACTTCCACAATGTATATCATAGACGTGAATATTCTTTTTTTTCTGTGATTTTTGTCGTACATAGAAATTCAGACACCAAATAAAACTACATTGATGACATGGTTTTTGCTAACGAAGGCGCTGACAAAGAATATTAAGATTATATCGAATGAAAATAAAATGGGATAAAAAGTAGAAAAATATGAAAAGTTCATTTGTAATAATCTGATTTCGAATATTTTTTAATTAAATAATAAGCCTGAATGAATAAAACGTTTTCTCCATAATTATTCACTACAATCTTTGTGTGTGAGCTGGAATATTACACAATCCCTTAGACTAAAACAGGTGATTTCTAAATGGACCACCTCCCAAGCTTTGATTCAGAGATCTAATCCATGAGTCAATAAAACAGTCACGAGATACAGTCCCAAATTAGCATCATACGTCCTTCGTCTCTTTCGGATCCTGGAGTCCATGTAGACCATTCGTTGGGGATCAAGGTCTTCTAACTTCCCCAGGTGAACCCGCTCTACTCACCAACCTGTTCTGAACGCCAGTGTCGGGTTTTCAGGGAAACGTACTCGTCACGTAAAGGCAGTTTGCAGGACTTCCCTGACAGATTTTATAAACGCGTGATCGTATGACAGCGTTTCGAGAAGGCGAGAAGACTTCTTTCCTTCGCTCATACCTAGAAAACTAGTGCACTATAAGCTTATCATTTCAATTTCTACTTATTTAATAATAATAACTGACAGCATGTAGGATTGTTTTTGAAATGAACTTATGGATATATTGTTTTTTTTCTGAATTACGGATACATTAACCCTACCATACATTGGGACAATATAAGTTGTCCGGATGCACTCAAGTTGTTTCCCAGTGTCATTTGTAGAAATGATCCCATTTTATCGTGATTGAATAGAACATATAGCACAGGTTTGTTTGGTTTGTGAATGTTTTGATTGGAAAATTAACTTTTCAACATCTGTTCATTACTCTCATTAGATTAAGTTGCTTTTTTCTGGATTGACTACATCCATCAACATTACATTGATGAAAGTATTCTGCAACCTATAGGAGTAAAACTTTTAGGTGTAAAACCCAAACCCCCTTCTCTTGTTCTCTACCTCTTTCCCTCACTGATCAATGTACAGCGTAGTTTCGAACGGCTAGTAAAAAGCCTACTTTCGAACTAATAAAAGCAATGGCTTTTGGATTTGAGTTCTAGTATGCAGTTCTTATTACCATAGCCATCTCATCATATGTCTGTTTCAGACAGCCAGGCCGATACTATTTTTTGAGAGATGTTTGTGAATCACGGATCTTCAATAGAAGAAATTTATTAAACAATTAACAGTCGATGGAAATTAAACTTCCTATTCTTTCATTATTAGTGACAACCATCGTTAAGTAAATGATTTGTATGTGAAATAACTGTGCAAAGTCAAAGGTTATTCATATTGACTGAAAACATCGTTAAGATCAGTTTTTTCAAAATATTCAGTATGTAATAGTTTGGAGAAGCTATCGGTTGTAGATACGAGTCCTCCGTGTTCCAATGGTGGTTATATATTTATGGATCGTAACCATAAGTTGTTGCTGGTTGTTTATAAGGGAAGTTCATGGTTCTGTTGTTTGATAAAAGATCTAACAAAGAGGATCCATCCTTTATTGATTTGCAGACCTGAATCCTCTGTCGTAATTGAATTCATGTACTCGACTTTGTGGAAGAAAATGGTCCCACAGAACGTCTTCTACATACATCTCACGGTGTTCAAGCTTAACTTTTATCATTAACTTCGTTTAATAGGTAGTTTTGAAATATTTACAATACATAGTCGATCTTGGAGACGAGGTGTTAACGCGTTGTGATTGAGTTGGTGACCTAGAGTGCTGTTTCTTTCCGACGCGTGACTAGAAGAATGTTATTCTTGAGGGTTGCATGATGCACATTATAGGACGTACTGTAGAACTGCAGGTGTTTAATTAAAAAAAAACTCGAAAAAGAACGAAGTCAGTTGAGTATACTTTCGGGTCTTTTCTAAAGAAGTGATCCTAAGATTGCTAAAAGCGCTAATTTTTCATTTATCTTGGCAAAAGTTATTACCTTGTAAATCTCAATTAAGGCAACAGTCGGTATATAATCCTCAACTCGTTTATTGGCCACTAACTATCCACTGGGATTCATTGTAATGTTCTAGCATAGGTCTATCATGACCGTGAACTTCAAATTTGTAAAACTTCTACACAGTTCAGAGTGTAAGGTGTTACAGTAATAATATATTAAGCCGCTTTTCACTTTTATACCGTTTGCTGTGTTAGGTTACTAACCATTTTCCATCTTTTATTAGTTTCATCAACCCTACTATCTCTTGATCGTTTCATCAAGTCCTGAAGTCCTTTGTAACTTTATACTATTTGTAAATAATATACACAATCCCCATCTCTGTGAACACTTTTTTTTTAAGTTGGATCGTCATATGCGGCTTCATCTAGATGGACATCCATCGTTTGGGTAAATATACTGTTATCTCTGTCATACTCCGATAACTCCTAATGCAGTAACTTAAAATAACCCAGTCACATTTATTTCTAATTTGAAAATAAGCAGGCTTTTCAATTTTCCACCTCCAATATTTTACAGAAATGTTTCTTGTTCTTTAGTTGTCTGATCCTTCCGTTCACAACTGTAGTCTCAGATTGGAACCCCACCCCACCCGCTTCTGCTTGGAAAATTTGTGATATCATTATCTCAAGGCCGAGTATATGTAGACTTGTTTTAATCAGCTGAATTACATTATTATTCACTGTATGTCATGAAAACTATAATAGCTTCAATCTTTAAACAAATATTGTCGCAAGCTTAGGTTTCTTCGGTACGTATGTATTCTATGCAGATAGTAGTGGAGTACTGAAACATTTAACTTCATACCAAAAACTAAGCACTATAAAACTGAATTCAGCATATATTGGTTTAGAATCTATCAGTCAATACTGCCTGTACTTGAGATTACTGTTGTAACATTATATTTAGAAACAACAGAAGGTAAGTAATTATTCTTGATGTAAAAACTTGTTTTCTATTCTTATACACTGCGTAAAAAGTAGTTGTACATGTTAAAATTATGAGTGAAGATTCAGGCGAAACATAGGACGTACAACCGTCTTTCCATAATTTGACCATAAATACTATAGTCACATTGCTAGCTTTCATAATATGAGTATGACATATAACCTTCATAAGTAAGTCTTTGTATTGTTTTAAAAGTACAGGTGCAAAGTCTGATCGGAATATTTTGTGTGTTCCTTGTATTCACTTAAGAAACCGTTTAATCTATATTAATTGCTTATGTCTAAAGGTTACACCTTATGAAGGTAATACGAACTGTTAATTCGTCATCTAGCATCCAAGTTTAGAATCATTTTCCCTTATTTCTATTACAGGCCACTGTTGGCCCATGTAATGTATCAAAACCAGCAATTTTCGATGTCAGTGGTCGAAAGAAATGGTAAGTATGCTTGCGATTCATATATTATGAATGAAGGCGTTCAATAGTTCACATTTTACTGTACAAGTTAGATCTGTTTAAAAATAATTAATGATAATTTACTAAATAGTTTTAACAGGTCCTGGATTGTTACCATTTGTCTGTTTGTTTTGTATTTATTGACATCCATCAAGTATCTGTGTTTTCAGCAGATATTTTTTATCTTCCTGTTATAACTTGTCAATTGAATGCTGATTGTCTTAGCTCTTTTAATGCTCCTTTTTATATCTGGTCGTTGCTGATTGTTGTGTCAGAAACGCTTATCACTTATACTTAAATCGAGGGACCTGTGAAATTTCCACTGCACGAAAGTAAGAACACAAGACTGGTATAAGTGAAGATTTATTAACTCCCAAAATACGACGACGACTCTAGTCGAGAATACACTCATTTATTTATTTATTGTACACACACTTTGATTAATAATTAGGATGAAATTACACATATGAAAAGTACTTAGTTATAACAAATCACATACTGGGCATAGTTCATGTCAATTGAATACAAGAATATCGTATATTATACAGAATAAAATATCATACGAGAAAACAAAATCGAATACTACACTGAATAACCATCACATTGAATCAAAACGGAAGTAATCTTGAACTAAACTTATATATTTTCTTCCCGTCATATCACTCCCACTAAACTCATGAAGAGAAAACTCATTTTTAGACTATACTTATGAACAAAATAGGACCTGATATAAGTATTTGCTGGAAAAATTACTGTTTTTCATATCAGAACGTTATCGGTTGATCGGTTTTTGTTACTAAATATGTTGATAGAACGAAAACAAATGGGCAATAAACAAAAAAACCTACATTTTAAAGAGTTGAAATAGGAAATTCCTATGACCTTATGAATTATCAAATCGGTGTTCCATTGATATACTGTAAATTTTATATATATTTTTTAAACTGTGTTAATTTACAAATAACTTTTATTAATATTTGTGTAAGTTATGTTTTATCCAGGTTAATGGGGATTCAACAGTTGTTACTTTGCAACTTTAATCAATTTATTTTATATGACTTACTTTTATCACGGTTAGAGTTAAGTATCATTTGGATTGGAAATCTGATTTCTCTCCAAGTTGTTGTTAAGAGGGAAACAAATATATAATTTAGTATTATTATATTTCTAAATAAAATAAGTTAATTTATTGATTTCATAAATTATATACACACATGAGATTACTAATTACCCACCAATTCAATCCATTCAAATTTATTAATTGACTGAACATTTAAAATGACATGTAGGTTTCTACTCTTGTGGATGTCGTTTAATTAGTGGTTAGTGAATAAATTAGTCTTCTTTTTCAGTCTTATTTCCTTCCTTTCGTCAGCATAACAGTCTCGTCCCGTTGCAATAAGTTGCACGTAGCGGTTATTGTGTCATCATAGTAAAAGGTTGTACCCGTAGTAGTAATCAGCACTTAGCTCTAACTACAATACTGACAAATCGATCCTGTTTCAGATCATCACAGCTAGTGTATTGGAGGTATTTTCACCAGCTGTAAAATCTAGTTCCAGATAATTTCATGTCTCCTACTTTAAATTAATAATATGTGTAAACTAAATAACATCTGCCTGAAAATACTAGTAAAATTCTTTCCTTTTTATTTTAAATTCATACATGATCATTGAATTTATATATTATAATCACATGTACAAATTTAGCGTGTTAGCAAAAACTTGACTGATGTCAGTAAGGGTTACATAATCCAAACTTTAAGCGGTAGATATGTAGAAAAAGACATAAAACAAACATTATATTGACGTTATACCTTCAAAATCACCCACTTGAAATATGTAAAAAGATACTACCAATAAAAGGTTACGTTTAAAAGTGTTCTTTGTATTCATAAAATAATTCCAGGATAAATTATATGAAAATATAAATTAACCCATTCATCAGGTACGTGGATATAATCAGGTACTACTCGGTTGGGCAAACCGAGGTAGGTGGGGCTTAATTCGATTTTAACATAATTCAAGTAAAGATGATAAGTGAACATGTTTGGATTTTTCATGCGTGTCTTGAAAATGCAACTCTGTTTAGCATAGTGTTAAAATTCCCATTAATAGAGTTTATTTTTCAATTGGATTTTAAATCAGGGTCTTATAGAATTACTTGAAATTGGAATAATAATTGATATTTTACATGATATTACCGTGGATGTACGATTTTAAAAGACCAAGAGAAATAGGGTTCAGTGTAGTCACACACAACTTAAATTTTTAAAAAAAACTGAAAGAAAGCGAAAGGGTTGATAACAGTTATATGTATGATTACTGTGCTACACAAGCAAACGACATGTTTTCATGAATTATGTGAAGTAAGCTAATATCCCAACTAAGTTCCCGTAAACCGGTGCTTTAACCCAGCAGCACAATCGAAATCTCTAAAAATGCCTAAAGCTACCTATAGTTTGGATTTTCTTCGTGTTTCTCTACAAAAATACATGACAATCTACAGTTTCTGTAAAAAGTTCATCCCGAAGATTTAAAGCAAGATTCATCAGAAGTGCTACTCATCCCTTCGATTTTTATATTACAACTGGTACCCGAATCCATTACCTATTTTTGCAATTCACAGGGTTGGTTATCCATGGGATTACTAAATCCAAAAAGGCATTCGAAACATCCTCAGAGGTGTTAGTGGTCAGTAGGAGCCATAAAGTTGAGCCTACATTCCAACCCTAACTGTAAGCTAATATCACAATACAATCGCGATTCATATTCTGGCCATATTTTTTTGTTGTTGGTCGATTTCAGGTGGGCGTGGCATGATCTTGGGAACATGCCTATCGATGAGGCACAAAAGCAGTATATTGATAAGCTACAAGAACTGAATCCTGCATGGAAACCATCGGTAACTTTGACTTATTTTTGTAACCGGAATTGTTAATTCATAAAACTATATTTTCTTAATTACCTTAACAATAGTTTCAGACAGGACGTTTTCGGTTCTTGAATCAATAATGTCTTTCCCAATTGTGTTTCTCAACTTAAAATTCCAAGGCTTTATAGTCTCTATGGAAGCTGATATATGTTAAAACACAAAATCTATGTGCATAATATTCCAGTTCATGCTTGTAATGACTTTGCACTTCAAAAGCCAAACTTCCTAAAACTGACAAGCATTTTTGAAACCCGCTCAATATACTTTGGTTGACAACAACCAAGTAGCACCTCTAACTGTTACACAAAAAGTCTTCTTCTGTGTCAACTACATGAACCTGTATTTGATTACTCACTTGGATGAAATATATAAATAATTCAGAGAATAACCGCTATTTAAATCCATCATAGCATTTCAGACATTTACATAATTGACTAGTTTATATACTGGTTTGCAGGATATGTTTTCCTTTTTAACACGTAATCTGGATTATAATATAATTACAATTTGACGTTGAAATATGATAGATTTTCAACTGGGATAGTCAGTCAATCAGTGATTGTGCCCAGTCAGATGGGATTACGTCTAACTCCCAGATTTTAGGTAAAATATTAGTTAACCCAATTGCTAAAACTAGACCACTATACTTAAAGACATCTGGAGCAGCTGCTCTTCCTCGTTTGCGATTAACTATAGCCTTTTGAACTTGAACTAGAGTCGCGGGACCTACTTCAGTGTTCCATTCACTCTGTCTGGGAATGGTGGGTAGTTGTAGCGTAGCTGAAGGTCAGTTGGACTGCTAATTAAAGTGTTCCGCCCATCGTTTTAAACGTTTAGGCTGAGAGCAGATAAGAGTGTCGTCTGTTTTCGAGGTAGTCTCACTCACACTTGACCTATTGATTCCAGTTTCTTTTGTTAATTTGAAGAGCTGTCTCGTATTACCTAAAACCGCTGCCTTTTCCATCTCTTTTGCTTTCGTTGCCCACCACTGCTCACGGTCGTTCCTTAGACTTTTGGTTAACTTAGGTCTGATTTGTTTTCGCTCTTCATTGTGTTCAGAGCCTGGTGTGATGAGTTTACGAGAATCTATCAGTGCAATAGACTTTGAAGAAATCCAATGGTTTTTCATAACCCTTTGGTTGAAATCACTAGTAGATGTCACTGCTGTTTCCACAGCTGTTCGTATATCTTTCCGAGCAGAGGCACAATACGATGAGTCTTATCTCTTTTTTCAAACTCCGTGTTTCGATGGGGAATCTTCGCCCCGAGATGCCCTGGTACGGCCGAAGGCTGAGAGAGTCAGCTCACCCTCTCGAAATGTTCTCGCATGGCCACGCATATATAGCCTCTGTCAGGAAAACCCTACTCACTGCCTTCCCGCGGCGAGGTTGTTGTTTACGAAATTGAGAGAACGAAAACCAAATGCCCGAGTTGGTGGATATGGAGGATCCATCTAGGAAAGTTGCAAAACACTGATTCCAAACCAATGGTGCACATGGGCTCCAGTATCCTGAAGGAACAAATGGCGTATGAACCAGTAGTTAGACATTGGCTACCGTGGGACTTCATCCCTGACGTTGCTCCACTGCCTTGTAGATCAGATCTTTAAATCGAAGGCTCCAGATGTGGTATTCTAATAAAACCACTTGTTTCGGTTCGGGCACCCGGGCAGTATCACAGCCCTCACACAAATCAAGGGTAACTGCTACTGGCCTCATTGTTATTGTGTGGCGCACATTTATTTTGTGCCCCCTTGTGCCAATGTTTATGTTTTCATATAAATAAATTCGAATAGTGCTTCTCCTGCTCTCATCCTTAGCGCTATACCTACATTCGCCAATCTACAAGAACTAGCCATCGAGTCGCCAGATTAACGGAAGGTGTATCTCGTCGACTCCCCGTTTTGGTGAGTTGAGTCCAAGTCAATGACCACACTAGGATCCTTTATGTGTGTTTCGGAGACAGCGTACACCAACGGTACGATATTCTAATGTCTTAGCCAAAGAGACTTGTTGGCCGATTAGACATAGGGTACGTACGTTGTAGGCTCCAATGTGTAGTTTGGAGCGAGGTTTCAAAATACAGTGTTTCGTGCACTAGAATCGTTGTCCATGGTGACACTTGAGGAGTAAGTCGAAAAAGAAAGTGTAGAGTTGATAGTCGAGGTAGGTGGAATAATAGGAATTGAATAGAACGGTTTTCACTTCTCGGTTGCCCACACCGTGAAGGGGTTCTTTTAGAGACACCTGAAAAGGATTTTGTATATATAATCTTACCAGCCAAATTGTATACTTTTACTCATTGACTCGAACTACCACCGAATTCTTAAACCTAACAGTTATAACGATAAAGCTATTAATTCATAATAGCAAGTTCGGTTTTATGCCTATATTAAGGATTAATTCTGTAGTCATATCAATGTTATTGATGAAATAGCTTGTAGTAAATAATGAAATAGTTTTCACTGTGTTCAGTTACATGATTTCTGTATAATATGTGTACTTTCACTCGATCACTCCGTTTGAAAATAAAGGAAATTAAGTAACGTGTAGTAGTGAATTTCTAGTTCAACTAATTTGCTCTTTGTTATTCCAACTGTCTAACAGTTGAATTTTCATGCATGCTACTCACTTTATATATTAAAGATTAAAGCAAACATACTTTTCATTAGTATAGCGACTCTAGTTCTACAAAGAGCGAAATTTTGCTGGTGTATAATCAAGTGGTACTTGATATAGAAAAAGGTAATGATGTTTTATTGATTCAATCATTCTTTATCCCTACTGCTCAGTTTTTCCGACTATCAAGCATTCAATCCCACGTTGATGTACAACATCTATGACGGTAGATTCTCAGTAAATACAGGACCAAAGTTCTTTAAAAATCTAAGGTTTTTAAATATTAAGCAAGTTCTACAGTAAAAATGTGAATACTTATAACTTAACCAACCATTAGTTAACCAAGTACATGACATTTTTCATTAATCAAACAAAATTTTTCATGTATTATTTGTAGAACGAGAAACAAAGATCTGTATATGTCAGTCGAATGATCAATTTGAACCCAAACTCAAATGAATCACCATTTGTATCTGACAATGATCATCCAATTTTTAATATAATTAAACAAAATGATATAGAGTCTTTAAATCGTTTATTATCAGCAAATGGTAACGAAATTCATTCAACCGATGAAAATGTAAGGTACTTTTTCAAATCAGAACTGTTATTAAAGTCAACTTTATATTGTTTTTTACCAAGTTCACATATGGTCGACTAATTCCTTCCTTCCTAATGACATTACAAAATATTCTGTTCCGTCTTATAGGTCTCATCTTTGAATTATACATGTAATTTAATTTATAATGGATTACAGTAAGACAAAGTTAACCCACAGTTAATTCATATTTATTTTTAAAATCTTATTATAGAAGAATTTCCAGGTGATTATTTAAAGCTAAATATTTATAGATTTAAATAATGTACCTAAAGTTTGACAAATATTCATCACCTAAAATAAACAACCACTCTCGATCCCCCATTTTCTGCATGTACAAAGTTTTAGCCATCTCAAAGAGAGATCGCATTAGAGAAATGTGTTAAGAATAAGCAAAATTCACTATTCATTATTAGATATGTAAATTTTCTTCTTGAAAAATTGTTCTATTACTGGACAATTACTGAATGAGAAATGAAATGCTGACTTGACAAACATTTACATTCTGAGTTTTGTTGAATTTTATCTGAATATAGTGTTTTTAATATTAAAACTAAAAGCATCAAGTATTTCTTGCAAATCTAGAGATTAAAACCTAATTTCAAGTCTGAATTAAACATTGGGCTAGGTTGTAGTTAGTATTGACCTTAGTGTATATTGTCACTCTTCTCTTAAATGTGACAATAATGTACATTAAGTAGAAACCCCCACTATTAAACCATGATGTATCCATACTTCTGTTAAATTTATACAAACATTGATCGGTAAACAAAGACCCCATTTCTCATTTCTTTTGCAGAATTTTCACTATTCTAATAATCATATAGATTTACCTGTTTTGATCGGTTACGCAATGTTAACTGTAGTAAGTTAAGTGTGATAATAACTCATGTAGTATAGAGATGATCTGGTGGTTAAGGCTTTGAACTTTCGTTTACTAAGTTTCATGGTGAAATCCCTCACTTCCTACCTGAACTAGGTTAGCAATACCAGTCCTTGCGCACACAGTCTGGCCAAGTACATAAATCTATACATGGTAAGGGAGAAACTGTTTGAATACAATCGTATATTGAGCTTTAAATTATAGACGTTATACGAAGGTCAACAGTGTTGCTCCATTGAAAATCTGTGAAGTGCTTATGAGACCCGTGACTTAGTTACTTAAAACACTAATGTTCACATTAGTTTAGGGTAATTAGTTTACAATCACATCTAGAGGAAAGTTACACACGTAATTATTATTTCATAAAACCAAATATTTTATGGATCCACTCTTCATGGGTCCATATACTCCATAAAAAGTAGTAAAAAGACAGCAAATCGTCTAAGGGACAGTAATAAAACTCTTGCACCAACATTTATTAAGAAAATCTGTAAATGTTTCCATATTTCTAGTTTATTATCTTGCATCGATCACAGAATTTCACCATCTAAAACAAACTCATTCTTCTGAAACAACGAAAATCAAATATTTATTTTCATTTTCTTATTATTTTCATATCCCCATCATACTAACCTATCAAGGGAATGACTCCTCTTCATTGGGCATCGGATCGAGGATTCACTGATCTAGTTTCTACTTTGGTCAAATATAATGCAAATATAAATGCCAAAGATGCTGAAGGACAAACACCTCTTCATTATGGTAGGATGTTGCTTATTTATTTGTTTAAACATAAACACTGGTATAAGGAGGCACCAAATACATATGCACCACACAAATCATTCGATTTGTATAAGGGCTGGAATACTGCCTGGGCGCCCAAACCGAAGTGAAAATTTTCCTCAAAACTCTCGATTATGCAATGCTTTTTTATTATGCATTTGACCAAGAAATTAATTTGAACAATAAGAATACATCTTGCACTATGAACAATGCTAGTGACCAACCAGGGTTGAACATCAAAAGCCCTAGTGAGTTAATAAAATAAAAACAGATACCGCCTACTTGTAAGCACAGTTATTTAGCTGGATGATTAATACTATTTCATATTGAAAACCAGGAAAATCCAGGATGTACTTTTCATTCTATTCAAAATCCATCAGTTAGATCTACTTTCATCTTCGTATTGATATCTTTGTACCCAAAACGGAAAAATATAAACACTTATAGATAACTATTATCAGAATGGGTTTTGTGGAGATTTTAGAAATTTCACAGATTTAAATCATGAGTCAGTTGAAGCTAGACCACCATTGAAAACCTGGAAGCACTGGACGGCCGTTTCGTCCTAGTATGGGACTCCTCATACGGGGTTGTGGATGCGCACTGCTGAGGAGTCCCATACTAGGACGAAACGGCCGTCCAGTGCTTCCAGGTTTTCAATGGTGGTCTAGCTTCAACTGACTCATGATTTAAATCTGTGAAACTTATAGATAACAACAAATACCAGTGAAACAATATTTTAGGGACGAACCAATCGGATTCAAGATAGGGATTTCTAGGTCATGACATACATGAAATAACAATACTAACTATAAACCCTTATTTGTCTACTTATAACTAGAATTTGATAGCTTATTATTCATAAGGCGTTGAATTAGTTAAAAAAACCATTTCATGTGATTTTTGCGAGGAACGGAATGTAAACGAAGTTCAGGGAGACACGGTGAAATAATGATTTTATATAATATTGTGCTGATAGAAGTTATTGAGGAGAGATTCAGTTCCGTCGACATACGTTCGGAGATTATACTATCCTTAATAGGTACAGACAGAATCATTGAATGGTTATCAGAAGAATGATGTATAATAAGTGAAGTGTTAAAATACAGTGACTAAGTAGTAGTTCCTTACATTCACCCAAATAAGATCTCAGTGACGCAAGTCTGCATTTGTATACATTTTTATCTCATTTTTCCATTTGATTACCTTGAATTTTATCTTTTGCATAGTTGTTTAATAATATTTTCCTTTTAAATCTGAATATTCCTCTTTTCAAGTATCGAATTAATTTGTTTATTTTGTATACTTACAGCTTGTTCTTGTGGTCATGATGAAGTTATACAAGTCTTATTAAAATCTAATGCTGATATCTATGCTAAAGACAATGAAGGAAATTGTACCTATGATCTATATGATGGTGACTTCCATACATTATTTAACGATTACTTACATGAATCAACGTCCTAGTCTTAAGCTTGTGTGTGTATTTCTTTGTTACCATGTTGTTAATTTCATGATCACTTGATTTCGATAAATTTCATATTCTGATCATCCACTTCATATGCTCACCAATATTGTATTACTTATCAATAATATGAAATAAACTGTAAATATTTTAAATATAGTTATTTCGTATAATTGATATGATATTTTGATTTTCAGCTCTTTCTCAGTTTATTAATTTTCGACTATTGAACGTTGTATCTACCCATAACTATACGATTTATGAGTACAATTTGGCCTCAATATCAGATTATATACGGTAATTTATGTTCGAAACAATATTCCTTAAATCATACTGTCTCTTCGTATTTAATCAATCAACTAGTCTAGAGTAATACTATATTATACTGTTGCTGTGCAATGCATCTATTGAAACCGGAAGAATCCTGCGTACAATAGACAAATAAATCAACAGAAAATAATTACACACTATGTCGTCGAAGAAATAACTTGAAATAAACTATTAACGATTCTTTTTGGAAACTATAGTCATTATTGGTTGACGATTATTTTAACTCGACAATACTCATTAACTGATTGTCTGTAAGTAAGATTTAATGAACTTGAAGATCTGTCAATTTAGACTTGAAGCTATTCAGTCGGTTCATTTTGTGAAGCGCTTTGTCTGATAGGTGTTAAAAAACAATCTGACTACTCACAGCATAACGACAAAGTTCGACGATATGAAGGTATTACAAGCTGTCTATCACGATATAGTTTAAGTTAAAAAAAAACTAAGTTTCATTTTTAATAATCAAGGTACCATACTTGTCAAGTCCCAATGAGTAGAAGCTAGATTTCTAACGTTTCGTGACTTAGAGTAAGCCGCTTCTTCACAGAATAAAAATAAGTAAATTGAATTAACACAAGTTCAAGAGGCACAAAGCAAAACATCTCTAGTACAATCGAAATTAAGATAGGTATAATCATGCTAATATTATTGTGTTCTCTCTAACAAGGTTATTTCATATTGTGTGATACCTAGTTGGATGTAGTTGTGTGTGAAAAATGATATTTGTGATGTGGAAGAGTGGGGTTAGGAATATTTGTATATTTTTCAGTGGCGTGAGATGTGAACAAAATTAGTTGTGTAAATAATTAATAATTGACCCACGTTGGATAAGTCATTAGGCCTTCCTTCCTCCTAATCCCAGTAGGGTTTACCAAAACATAAAGGGCTTCAGCCACTCGCCTTTATAATTGGAAAATCCTTTATGAATAATTTTGGTGTTATTAATATTGGCTTGATAGTTGCTAGAAATAGCATGTACTGTTATTGCTGATTTGATTTGTAGGTTTTCTAATTGTACATGATTATTTGGAGGTCTTTTTGTGTAGCCTGGATGTTCACGAGAAGACTCCTCAATATAGAATGCATCACAGTCAGTTTACACATCCTAGTCTGTAGAGAAAATGCTGTGTTGAAGTGACAGGGATCTCATCCTTGATTTGAACTAAAGCCTTTCGAAGTCAGTATTTTATAGAAAGTTTTAATTCTTTGTGGTTTAAGGATTCGTTGTAACTCTTCTATTTTGCCATGACGGTATGATATAACTACAGTGCCAACCCATAATAGTCCATTCGAATTATTATTGTCATTATTCATCAAAAGAACATTTCATCTTAGTATATTTTTGATAATATTCATCGGGAAGTTTATATATATATATATATATATATATATATATATATATATATATATATATATATATATATATATATATATATATATTATCTGATGTCACAATGTTTGACGCTCGTCTGAGTCAATTTAGAGACAAATGGACTTTTGCATTGAGTGGATTTGCCGAGTTGAAATTGATACATCGATTTGAGTGTATCGGTTTGTGTTGGATGGTTTTTGATTTAAACTTCTATTTGAATTTATTTTGACTAAACAGTATAAAATTGGTAGTTTCATTTGTTTTAAAAAAAAATTGTTTGACCGGAATAGAGACTTAGTACGAAATAATCAGCAACTACAATTTAACTTAAAAGGTGTATTGTCTAACTAATAAAGATCATTATAATGTCCATAACTAAATATATATTACTGATATATTTCTTTATTTGATAAAAATTTGACTTTAATTAGAGTAGAGTTTTTTTAAAATTTAAATCCAACTCGTACGAATCTATGTTCCATTGTATAACGTGATAAAACCTAGTATCTATGATTAATAATTAAATAATTCAACTAGTTTAAGATCTTTTATAAAGAAATAATATCTTCATTTATAACTGTTCCCTCGTGTTATATCTGTAGACTGCAGATTAGACGGCAGCAATTTATCGACCGGACCAAAGACGCGTAAACACGTAAGAACGGCCTAGAGTTCTGATTGGTCCCCCTCCCCTGTCTAGCTCAGCCAGTTGAGTCCAGAATGCAAGTCTCAGCCTCTGAGATATGAATCTATATTTCAAACATACTATGTTTATATACCAATCAAGCAGACCACATCGTACCATAAAATAGAAAATAGCATTTGCACAATATTTGGCCAACAGGAAAATGACACGTGAAATAAGTATTGACCAGTAAGGAAATGACACGCGAAATAAATATTGACCAATAGGGAAATGATACCATCTCAAGTCCAAGGATAGCGTTAGATTTAACAGAATAATTTTCGGGATATTTTTCTGAATATCCCAACACCTCGTAAATCTAATATACAACATTTATTTCTATCTTTTTCATAAAGTCATTAAAAGATTGTAACAAAGAATAAAAACCGTAAAATAAATCCATCAAATAACTTATTTACAAGTGAATAGCTAATATTAAATTATATTCTCTATATGATAATCTATTGAAATGTCTCATTCTTGTAGAACTTTTTAGCTTGACGTACAAAATAGTATGATTATTGAAAGTATTCGAATTAATGTATTAACTAAGAACTCCCGAAATACTCAAGTTTAAGGCAGATAGAACTAAATGAACACAAACTAATTGTATTTGGGATTCGTATTCAGCGGGCAATCAAGTACAGAATAATCATCAGTTAGTACAAATACCACAAATAAATACAATTCAAAGAAGGGAGTTTTCGTCTACATGATGTAACCTACTAAAGCTGTACAATTGTATTTAACGTTATTTACTCAATATTGACCTCACAAGCATAGTCTTTTTGAATGCATATCTGAAGCCTTCCTTATATGGGTATAGGAATGTAAATACGCGTCAGTTAAATGTTTCACGTTTTACTGTCTAATCAATTGTCTCTATTAAACCATTATTTAAATTTATCCACAAGGTTAAACTGGCTCAGAGATAATATGTTTCATAAATTTACACAGCAGAATCGTTAGCAATTTAAACCTGGTCCTTATGTTCAACAGAGATGTTCAATTGCTTGTTTAATGAATTATTACTACTCATCCAGTGAAAAATTATCTCTCACATTTATTATTATTATTTTTACCCTGCTAATATTACCTTTTTATTTGATAATAACCTAATACCTTATTCTATTATAGATTAATATGTAAAAATTACTATGAATAAGATCATACGTTTAAAAAAATTGAGGTCATGGAATAGAAATTCTCTGAACTATTTTCATTTAACTTCATAATATAATAATTACCAAAAAAGAGTGAATAATTAGACACTTAAACGCTTATTACTATAAGATAAAAGGCGGTTATAAATACTAAGTACATCATTATGTTATAAGTTGGTTTTACATGAGTTATAAGAGGCTTTATCGTGCTTAAAATAGAGTCTTGTTTTATGCTAATAATAAACTGTGGAGATAACGATATGTGAAAATGAGATAATATTAAGGGCCATATTTTACTAATGACCTAGTCACTATCGTAAATATGGTTCTAAAATAAAATGTTTCGTTATGCTTATTAAACAGATAAAAAATGGACCTGGTAAATGATTTGTAGATGGTGTACATATTCAAATATGATTGCAAATATATGGTGTCAAAAATAATCTTTCACTTGGTTGAACGAGTCTTGCATAAATTCTAATTTTAGAAATCTATGTGAAAGATTAGATACACAGAAGAGTAAGTTAGGAATAAGGCAATGTGAAGTATGTTATCAAAAGACTAGTACTTTTAAGTTGACTCGAAATCGGGCTACCAAAAGATAAACACTACTTAACTCTTTATTAGCAACAATATGCCCTGGATCGAAATTGCTTGGATACATAAAAAGACAAGTAAATCTGGTACGGTAAAAGTCAGATCCTTTCAAAGCCACCCACCGTTGCGTTCCAACGACCTTGAACGGCCCGAAAAGAGGCGGTCATTCAGTGTTAGGATTTCTGTTAGTTTGTTGGGTGTCCTTTGGGTTACACGAATATCAGATGATCTCATTATTTAAGTGACCTTTTGCTGCAGCAAAACCACAAAATTACTGCGAAGAACATTGATTTACCTTTCCCTGTCTTGTGGTGCACACCTTGAATAGATTGTTGCTTCGTAACTTTCCAATCTCCCTATTCCGGGGAAAATTCTGTCCGGTTTGGATAATTTTTTGAGATAATTTCGGTCGAGAGCGTCCTGTTCTGTTTGCCTGGAAGCGAAAAGAATTGCGAACAGATGCAACCTGGATGGTGGATAAATTGTGACATGCCGGTGTCACTGCCATCATATGCTACTGGCATACATAGGAAGACGAACTCTCGATCCATTAAGAAATGTAAACCGTAGAGTTCATCATATTCTTAGACATTGCAGTCGATGGAAGATAGATAACACCCACACCTTCAATAATAACAACACTTTCACTACCCAGACGAGGAAAACAGTATGTACAGATTCGACGAAGCCGATTTTTCTCAATAATCTTCAATAAGTAGGTAAGAATGTAGTTTCTCTAACGCTTGTCCTTGTGTAGTATTCTTTACGACAGAAAATATGGATCAAAATACAATATAGTGTGGAGACATGACAGGAACTGTTTACTATAAGAATTTCTTTATAGTAGTATTGCGGTGTGTGCTACATATATAGACATACGTAGTATATGATGTTAGTCGTGAACACAATGTCTGGCAACAAAGAGCCAAGAGGACCGAACAGTAAAGAATGGAA